TCTCGCATATTGAGAACTGTAGCGGATTGCTACGATAGTAAAGCCTGACCGACTCAGAACTCTCTATGGTAGATCCTCCTACATCTAGCTAGACTCCTAGGACCAGCTAAGCTCTAGCCTAACTATAAAGGAAACAGACGTGTAGCACGAAGCACGTTTATTCAGGACGTATATTGAGGATCAAGTGTACACGCAGGGAGCTACTCATGATCAGGATTGCTGATTAGGTTATACAGAGGTTGATGATTGGTCACTGTTTGTACGGTCGCACCTCCCAATCCTGGCGTGCAGGCATGCGATGACGTGTTCCACAGAACTGGCATACCACTTAGAGACAGCCAATTGGTTGTGAATTGATCTTCTTCGAAAAGAGCATTGCATTGGAAGCGTTTTTTTTACCTTAAAACAAAAAAAAACAACTAAACCAAGCAAACATGAACGGGCATCAAATCTGTAAGATGTTTGCATGTATGCAAAGGATAGGGGAAGCGGAAATCTAGCTTTTTGGCCTATTAAGTTGAGTGAAAGTGTGTATGTGCTCTCTTCTATCCAATGGCTACCCTGAGTACAGACTTATGCTTCACTTGACTAGATGGGCTGCGAGTGTACTTCTGAGGTGCTTTGTGGTTTAGCATCGATTTAGCAAATTTGATCCACATCGACTTTTCTTTACCCTTATCATCATTACATTAACTGGGGTTTTTTCCCCTCATTTCAGGAGGCACCACTGGAGAGCCTGAATGATTACCTCTTCGCATTGTCTAGCCATGCAGTCTACTGGGATTCTAAGGACTGTCTTCTCTTTATGCTTAATCAGGTTTTCGACAACGCTGATTGTGTTTGTGTCGAGGGGGTTACTACTCCAACGAATACCAATGCTTCGCTGACACCCCGTGGGGAGACGAATTATGACCTTCTGACTGCCACCGATTCTGAGACCTCTGTGATGAAACATTCGACTTCCAATCCTGCCTTCTCTTCCAACCCTATCTCGGGTTCTGCCTTCCACCCTGCTCAACATTTTTGTGCGTTTCTGGTCTTTTTTGCTAATTTAATGGTCTTTTAAGTTAAAATTTACATTATTATTTATAATCTACAGTATTGCAAAAATGCATTTTTTTCATTGTGGCAAGCAACTGAAACTGATTGGCAAAATCTCCTAGGAAATACATAGGGGAGGGGAACGAGTTACTGAGCGTAAAGTCAGGGTAGATAGTTACCTTGTTTCACTTTATTCTTGGTTAATTTTGATGGTCTGTCTTTTGCCACTATGCTCAATTTTTTCAAAATGCTGAGTGAGCAAAATACCTTTCTCCATAGATAGCCTAAATTATTCCATGCACCTGCCAAGATTAATTGCGATCGCCAGCTGAATCGTCCCTCTCCCCTCCCCCCCCCCCCCCGCCTTGGCTATTGCTACTCAAGAATCGAAAAAGTATGAAGTGTGTTGGTGCTGTCAATTTCAAGCTGCTTCAGGTGGTCTGTTCTATTCAGTTTGTAGAAAGTAGTAAGATTTACAAGTGGGTGGTGTCTAATTTTATCCTTCAAACTGGAGGACTCATTTCACCCTCAATATTTATAGTAAGCATTGGGTGAAGTATTGAGAAACTGAAGGCTTTGATGCTTTCAGGATTGTGTTATTATAACCTTGCCAGCCTCCAAATATAATTGCGATCCCTTGAGCCCAATTATAATAATAATAATAACACATGATTAAGCAAAGTTCAGCATACAAGACAATCATTTTGCAGATTTCTTGACTACCCTTTATCAGGCACTCAGTAAGGTTGTGTGCATGCCTCAATCTAATCGGCTTCTTTCCTTAAATATCAAGTGGTTGACTAATTACATGAACTTGCAATTTTAGACCCACCGTCTCGAACTTCTATGCTCGATCCATCTCCCCCTCCCTCGATGACATCCCTTCACAGCCAAAGTGGTGTTGCCACTGACCTTATTGACCTCTCTAGTACCTCAAACCGTCAAACCACCGTTGATTCAAACTTTGTCGAGATTGACCTCGCTCCCTGACTTCTTCCATTCTTTGTCATTTTAACTCTATGACATCCTATATTAGCTCGTGTTTCGTCTTTGTCTGTCTGTGTGTGTTTGTTTGTTGTATGCTTGCGATTTACAATATCGATACTTGAATGTTATCTTCCATCTCAGAATTTATTTTGGCATTACATTATACAGGGGTTGGTTAATTTAGTCTCCGTAAACACGCTCGATAATAACTTCAGCTTGGCGTTTTGCTACTTCTGCGTTGTGCTTGATGATCTCGGCTGTATCGCGCTCCGCGATCCCTGGAATGTGCATGCAGTGATAATCCGTTACGTTCCAGTCAGCAACTGAATCGCTTTGTATGACAGAATAGGAGTTATCAAATACTTTCTCACAAAAAGCTTTTGCTGAGCCGTAAATGTTTGAGATTGGAAGGCATTTGTATCCCTCGTGACATTGATTTGTTCCTAGAGTGAAAAGGCATGCTAAATGGGGAAAGCCGCTTACCCGAAGACCAGTCAAATCCACCAGATCTCCAATTTGTAGCGCACGCTGTTGAGCTGCTGCAAGCTTCATACCATTTATTACAATCACTTTCACAAAGCGGGATTTTGAAAACGTTTTCCTTGAACTTAGAACTTGAGGTCTTAACAATCCAAGGTCCCAAATGTGGAGAACATTTAACCATGCAGTGTTCGTGGAGAAAAAAATCCTTACATCCTTTTGTTATGTTACAGAAATTAAAATTGAATCCATGAAGGGATTCGTTGTTGATTAAGTTAGCGGTTGTTGGTGGGCAACAAGATAAATCTTTCCATTCAGGACACCTTTCAAGATATGGTTCAGGGATAGGATGGTCGTTCTGCTTATCAGACTTTGGGCACATGGATAAGTATTTGTCTACAGTGTTTACCTCCAATAAGCGGTTATGTGCATTAGAAGGAGAAAATTGTAGAATGAAAATAATGATTAGTTTGAAAGCGTACAACATATTAAATCTAGAAAAGAACACATTGTTAGCAAAGTTTGACACATTCGGCAACAACTGGGAGTTATCAGAATTTCGCAAATATATAAAATAATAATATGTAAATATCAGCGGCCCTTCAAATACATACCTTCGTTACAAACCAAATTAGTCCCAAGGCCAAGGTACCTGCCTTTTCATAAGTTTTAAATGGAAATTGAAAATCTTATAAAGAACGGTTAAATCAACTAGCAAAAAAACGCATAGAACCGGTCATAATTTTCGGTTCTAAAAATATTTTTGAAACAAATTGTTCTGGATTATTTGTTTTTTAACCATTATTCTACTGCGATAGTATTCACTTGATTGACATTCTATCATATATCGTGAGATTAATTAAACCGTCCATGACTATTCGATCATAACTAGTTCTTTTTATAGAGAATTTCAAATTGAAGAAGTGGTTGACTACTTTCTGAGTTCAAAAATTCACATTATTTATTGACAAAAGAATTCACACCTAATGAAATAATCGTTCGATATCACCTATGTTTCTAATCATGGATTTGTAGAATTTTTTGCAGTTTCTCCTTAAATCTGCCTTGATAACTACAAAAACTTAATAAATTAAACTTCAATGTATTTAAAACGAGTGTGCCATTGATCCTTCACATTTAGGACGCCCACTGATATCTGTCAATATCAAAAGCGTTTAAGCTGTTGTGGGTTTTGGTTGCTTTCACTTCTGATATGCTAAGTTATTTTTCTTTGCAAATTACATGTAGTAAAGCAGTCATGAAACATCAGTGGGTACTAGATCCGAAAACTGTTCCCTGTTGGCTTAAGTAATAATAGATTATTGAAGTCTTTCGGATTGCTATTGAAACTGACTGTCGGATATTTATCGCTACATATCAAAGTGCATTTTTATCGTGATCAATCGTATTAATATTTGTAATTCTCACTAAAGAGCAAACAAGCAATAAAAGCACGTGGAGAGTCAAGTATTTCGTTCAGGATTTTCTAACAATACATTTAAATATTGAAAATGCTCGAAATAGTTTGTTATGATTTGCCAGCTGAAATGAACTGGACTAGTGAATATTTCTCGAGTTATTTTAATAAAAAAATTAAAAATCTGAATAAAAGTAATTTTTAAGGTTTTTCTTGAGTGGAAAATAAATATTCTAAGGGAGTGAAAATTCATCGAACCGTTGCAAATTAATATTTTGTGATATATGTTGGATTCACATTCTATAAATTCAGTCAATGAAGCAAGTTGTCAATCATATAAATAGAAGTTAGTGTGATCTCGCAATAAGTTTACATTTGGAAAGGGAGACTGTATAGCTTTCCATATATTCTATTGAATTATGATCAGTGATTGATGATGAAGTCGGTTCCTAAACTAGAATTTCCATACAGACCTTCAAGTGTGAATTTTGCTCAACCGGAGTTTGTCTTGAAGACGGTTATATGAATATCGCCATAGATATCCAATTTCAAAATCGATTATTTATGTCTCAAGTCTTCCATTCACAAACCAGACCGAGTTCGTTTATTTGTAGTTCAGAGCGTACTTACAGAGTTATAATTTCCACCAAATGTGTGACAGAGTTCCAAATTAATAGTTTGTTCAAGTTTTAATGGGGGTACTGGAAAATGTATATACATTTATTCAAAGCCATAATATTAGTTCCATACGGGGCTATTTATTGTTCCAATTTATTTGAATAATAATAATGACATATATATGGAATTTATTTTCAGCTTAATATTTGCTACACTCTCACTACATCTGAATATATCACGGTTAACACTAGATTTCGCAAACTTCTGTCGTGAATGTTTATGAAAATCATTGGGAACGAATTAGAAATAGCGAGTCTAATTTTGACTCCATAATTTCATGATAAAGGAATAAGTTTCTACTCCCACCTTAATTCAGAATTGAATCGGATATATATTGAATTGTTTAAATTTTGGTGCATATTATAGCACAATTAGAGGTTAAGATTGAATCGGATAGGCAATATAAATTCCTAATTCATTAATCCTTCATTCTTTTAAGAAGAAACCTCTTTGTGTAACAATAGATAAGATCAGTCGGAAGCATGATTTCATAATCTTGCTTAGTTAATAATTTTTGGAGATGGATAGATATTTACGTATTAAATTGGAATTGTCCCACTTGACAAAAACATTCGTCATTCGTCTAGCAGCTTCTTCGTTGCGTTTTTACCCCCTCTTGGCAACCTGTCATTCATTCCAAACAGGGGGGGGGGTTTCCTATAGATATTATTGAGCATAAGTCGGGGCTTGATAGAGAAGTAACTCGCTACACAGTCACGCAAGTATCTAAGACATTTGATACCGATACTTCTATTAAAACAATGGGAGTTATTGCATTTTCAAAATGGCTATGAACATCGTTTCCTAAGATCACTCCTTAAGTTAATGAACCAAACAATTTATATCAACGTTTTTTTCAAAAATAATAGGATTTTCGAGGTCCTGAGATTTATTCGATTACAGTTAGCGTGTCACAGAGCATAGAATATTAAATTAATTACTTTCGTACAGATATTTGCGTGACTGTGCAGCAGGTTACTACTCCGTAATCTCTGTATCAAAATCACCCAGTTTGGAATGGTTCCCAGAATTAGCTAAGCTACCACAAAGCTGTGAATGAAACTGACGTATGACATGGAACATACCTTGGATGGTGTATCTTGTCACATGGATGAATCATTAAAATGCCATAAAAGGTTGGTCGGACCGAACAAAAAACACTGATTGGCGGTTGGCTGGGAGATCTCATCGATCACGACGCACATTCGAGTCTGCCTGAGTGGGCATGAGATTACTTTGTTCAGTCATGTCAGCATTATGTGCTCCACTGCTGACAATCTGTTTGATGACAATAACTTAAAATACTTGATTTCCTATAAATTAAGATCGCGATAAGTCAGCTGAGAAATTCGAATCGCATAGTCTCGCGTGTAGTTTAAATTAGTATCGAAATAATAATAAATGGGAAGTTGATATTTTTCTCCAATGTTTCCCTTTGTGTAAATATTGTGATGCAGTTCACTCATAGGTGCACTTTATTGCACCATCAATGGTGTGTCGGGTTTATTTAGCTTTGCTTCTGTCTACCAAAACTCAGGCGCTTTGATGGTTATCATTAGCCATTTAGTTGACCTCAGACTTTACAGAGAGGAAGGGAACATCAAAGGGGAAAAAAGTCGAGATGGGGGGGGGAGGAACAGAAGATTGTTCCAAAGATGTAAAAGAGACAGACACAAAGGTAGAAAAAAAGTGAGGTGAGAACTGTGAAAGTAGTGGAATATGACAGGCAGTGGGGTGATGGTAGTTTGAAGTGAAAAGTCAACTGCCGGATTATAGACTTTATTGCCGTATGAGAATACGTTGCCCAGGGTGCACCACGTGGTGCCTTATGAGTATACGTTGCCCAGGGTGCACCACGTGGAGCCGTATGAGAATACGTTGCCCAGGGTGCACCACGTGGAGATAAGTCTATCGCACACCCCGCACTTTCGAGCATAAAATTCGAAAACCATTTAGTGAATAAATACATTTACCTCTCCTTTTCCCTTGTTAGAACTTATGCCAACCGAGGTGACCACTCATTCAGGGACTGTTTTCCTTTTTAACGACACAGGGGTGTCAGGATGAAAAAAGCTAGAATTAAATTAAGTTATTCATGATTAAGAGCTCTTGCGATATTTCTAAAATAGTACACCCCTGAGTAATTTCAAGCAAAATCCGTTTGCTTTCATTAATTCTTCATCTCTTCTATAATAGAGTAAGTTCAAAAAATTTATTTTGTTCTGCAAGAAGTGGTTAGTTAGAGTCGGCTCAAACATAAAAGCGATAGGCAAATAGCGTGACTTTCTCCAATAGGGCAATTAACCTTTCAATAGAATGTAGCAGAAAAATAAATGTCAGCCGCAAACCAGTTATCAATTGGCACAAATTGAGTAAGACTAGCACTATGCTATGGACACAATTACTGAGTAAATAGCTTTACTATAAACTAAGATGACAATAGTAGTGCTCTCCTAAATATCACGAGTACCAAGTGAACACACCATAATAGCAACTACCGGCAACACTCACCCTGGAGTAACCAATAGGAAGGAGAGCAAAACTAATCAAGCCCTCGGTCTGAAAAACGAAGTTTAAAGCCGAGCTAAGCGATATCAGCATACTTTAGGTGTAATTGCTAACCTACACATAATACTATAAAAGTGCACGGACAGGAGAAAATCACACATAGTAGATCTAAAAGGAATTGCTGCTATATTAAAAAAAAATAAGGGAAATCACAAAACAAATAAATAAAAAAAGCAGTGGCAATAAGTAAAATGGTATTATTTTAGATCACGAGAAATTTACAAACGCTCTCTACTTATTAAGGGAGCGCGCCTACTAGTTTACGACTAAATTTAGTGTTCAGCAGCAAGTTTCTTGGCCTTCTCAACCACTTCTTCGATATTACCAACCATATAGAAAGCGGCTTCAGGATATTGATCCATTTCACCGGAAAGAATTTTCTTGAAGCTTCTAATGGTATCCTGGAGACTAACCAACTTGCCTTCCATACCGGTGAAGACCTCGGCAACCTGGAAAGGTTGCGACAAGAATCTTTGGATTTTACGAGCACGGGAGACAGTAAGCTTGTCTTCTTCCGACAACTCGTCCATACCAAGAATTGCAATAATATCTTGGAGAGAACGGTAGTCTTGAAGAATCTTTTGCACACCACGAGCGACTTGGTAGTGTTCCTCACCAACAATGTTGGGATCGAGAATACGACTAACAGAGTCGAGAGGATCGACAGCTGGGTAGATACCAAGACCAGCAATACCACGACTCAACACAGTTGTGGCATCCAAGTGAGCGAATGTTGTGGCCGGAGCAGGATCAGTCAAATCATCGGCAGGCACGTAGATAGCTTGGACAGAAGTAATTGAACCCTTCTTGGTAGTAGTAATGCGTTCCTGCATGGAACCCATTTCAGTTGCAAGTGTTGGTTGGTAGCCGACAGCGCTAGGAATACGACCCAGTAAGGCAGATACTTCAGAACCAGCTTGTGTGAAACGGAAAATGTTGTCGATGAAAAGAAGCACATCTTGCCCTTCCTGATCACGGAAGTATTCAGCAACAGTCAGACCAGAAAGAGCGACACGGGCACGGGCGCCTGGAGGTTCGTTCATTTGACCATAAACCAGAGATACCTAGATAACAATAACTGGTTACGCGTAAAATCAGAAATAGCTACCTTAGAGTTGTTACCCTTAAGGTCAATGACACCTGTGGTAATCATTTCATGATAGAGATCGTTCCCTTCACGAGTACGCTCACCAACACCAGCAAAGACAGAGTAACCACCATGAGCACGAGCAATATTGTTAATCAGCTCCATAATAATGACGGTTTTACCGACACCAGCACCACCGAATAAACCAATCTTACCACCCCTAGCATAAGGAGCCAAAAGATCGACGACCTTAATACCAGTCTCAAGAATTTCCTGGCCGGTGCTCATTTCGACAAACTCAGGAGCATCCTGGTGAATCGAGGACATCATCTTTGACTTAATGGGTCCACGTTCATCAATAGCCTCACCAATGACATTCATGATACGCCCAAGAGTTTCGGGACCCACAGGAATTTTAATTGGCGCACCAGTATCGATACACTCTTGACCACGAACAAGACCTTCAGTACCATCCATAGAAATGGTACGAACAGTGCTTTCACCAAGATGTTGGGCAACTTCAAGAATGAGTCGAGATTGACGACCTTGCACCTCTAGGGCGTTGAGAATGGGGGGAAGTTTATCATCAAACTGGACGTCTACAACGGCACCAATAACAGCAACAATGCGACCCTTGGGTTGAGCGGATGCAGCGGGTTTAGCAGCTTCCGTTGCGAACCACCCTAAATTTTGAGTAACGTACTAAATATATATTACTTTGATTAGTAAAAGATGGAACGGCGGTAAATTTGCTGAAGGAAGCCGACTTCAATGAAGTTTTGGCCAACTTCGAAAGGGCAAGCAGACTTCGACAGGCCATAGTTGTAAAACCGAAACTAGAAGAGTTGTATTGGCTAAGGGAACAGAAACCTCTGCGTTTATTGGTTTAAGTGATGAATAAACACTTATATATGAATTATAAAAAATATATAATTTTGTTTTTAGAATCTTAATTAGCTTATTTTTACTTAATTCATGTCTTTTAACTTTCATTTATTGAGTTAGCAAGAAATTCTTTTGTGAAATGAAGTATATTTATGTAATAAAATTTTATTTCTGAATTTCTGTTAATTTTGATGAATCAATGGACCGTTTTTGGTTCTTTCTTGAATTCTAATAAACGGAAAAACGTAAATTGAGCTGCGGCAAAGTTATTACTTTTAATTATAGATCGTAATTTCATTAGAATTTGTATATGAAAGTAAATATTAATGAGTATATATATGGAAACATATCTACGGTATTAAATTTAGCGTTTGTCACTACGTTCTAATATTTGTTTGGCGTTTACTTGTTGTCAGTTTTCCAATTTTGGTTAAAGATACTTTTATGAATAACTTGTCGCTCATCCTAAGCTACTATATTATTGTTCAAATGTAATGGACTTGGTAGATATGATTTGACGAATTGCAATTGGCTTGTTACTATTCATATTGTTAAGTCTAAAAAATTGTGTCTTAGCGTTATTCGACTATCTCTATGCCATTTATTATTTACCTTTTTCATTCATTCAGCTGGAGTAAACATGAATACCAAACGACATTGTTAGCTTTTGATAAACAGGCCGCACTGCTACTATGAACATAATTGAACACTAGGTGGGTATCGCACATCATGCTAAATGCTTACATGAAAGTAATCTCATTATTAGTTAGAGCAAAGGGACTAAATTTTGCTTTGGCAACCCTTATAATTATTTAATGTAGAATGTACGGACTTAAAGTCCATTTAAATATTCTTTTTATAAGTTGATGGATATCTTTATATATTCACCCAAATGCCTACAAATTTCTTTAGTATTATAAAAGTATCATTTTAGTACCCAATTTCTCATTTGGTAATATATCTACCAAACATTTTTCCAACAATTTTATTTTTACTACGTAGAAATTGATATATCGATTGTTTCAATAAATAATATTCAATTATTTTTTATTTATATCAAATGGCAGGCGTTTTGATAGTTATCATTAGCCCTTTGGCTGACTTAGGGCTTCACAGAGGGGAGGATGAACATCAAAGTGAGAAAAAGTCGAGAAGGGGAGCAGAAGAGAGATTCATGGATGTAAAGGAGATAGGCAGACTCAAAAGCATAGAAAACGTGAGGTGATTACTGTGGAAGTAGTGGAATATGACATAGA